TGTAACATGATTTTTGGTGATACCAGAAAAAATTTTGGGAACAGTATTTTTAAGATATCAAACTTTTGGCTCTGCCCCATAATAACTTATTAAATTGAAAAATATATAATTTATACTTTGTATGAGTTTTGGTAATTTTTAACTTGACATAAATTCAATAATACAAACAATGGAGCAGATTCCAATTACCTAACTTATTTAAAATACAATTCTACTATATAATAATTAATTATATAAATTTTTTTATTATTTTCAACAATAGAGTTACAGTATATCCTATAAGTAGCAATACTATTGTTAAAAAAAAAAGATAAACAAAGTTTGATCAATATAAATAAGAGAAATTTTATTTTGAATAAAAATAAAATATCAAAAAATTGTATTTATAATCTGGTAATTTATATTAGTACTCTGTTATTGCTATTGGAATCATATTTAACTGTTAAAAAGGTAACCTTAAACCTAAGTAAATATATTGTATTTATGTTCTATAAAAGGAATTATTAAACAAAAGATAATATGTTTCTAAATCCTATTACATATTACTACTTCAATATCTCTTTTACTATAAAACATCAATTATATATCTTATTAGACATTATATATTTGAAATACATATAGATAATTTTATTATACTGTACAAATTCTTTTTTTTTTTTTAATTAAACTTTCTATATTCTTTTATAATATGGTGATTCTGTTCAAAATATTTTTTTATTTTTATTTTTGTTTTGCTTTAAATTAAAGTTGGATTAATGTTTTAAGACAAAATAAATATACAGTAGATAGTTCCTTTCTTTTTTTCTTTTTAAGGATTTTTTAGAAATATATTTACTATAATAGATGGTAGATCAATATGTATATAATATATTTATATATTTTGTATCTTAATATTAAATATGTAACTATACAATATATTATTTTTTAATAAAGATTACAAGACATGTCTTACTTTAACAAAAAACAAAATAAATCTTGCTGCAATTAATTATATCAATATTATATACTGTATATTATTATTATTGTTATTTGTTTATTTTTTTATTGCAGTTATAGTTTTTTTAATTAAGTTTTGAAATAAATTACATTATATTTTCTATTAATAAAATAATTGTATTATATAATTCATGTTTTAACTAATAAAAATATTTTCTGTTATAAAAAATATTTTTATTTTTATTTTTATTTTTTATTTAATTATATAAATATTATTTTTATCAAAAAAATTTTTTTAATATATAAATTTTAAATTATTAAAAAATTACATATTCTTTAAACAAATTACTGCAATTTATAATTTAAAATTTTGATATTGATATAAGCAAACTTATATATCTAAGTTATTGTCATATATCTTCCTACCTCAGGAGAAAGATATGGATGGAGAACTAGTAGCAGGGAGACACTTTATATGGATGGACCAATGTGGTATGCTAAAGTTCATAAGGGCATACTAAAATTAGTACAGTTCTGAGGTATATGAGATCAAGCGAAAGAGGCAATGGTGATTTGTTTTATAAAGGTCAAGTTATTTTATTAATAAAGAGGAAAGTTTAACCTTGCAATTTCAGGAGAAATTGGAGACATTTATATATATATTTTGGAGTACATAATAGATAATAGTAGTAATATTGATAAAATAGATGTTATCTTCGTTAGAGCAGTTAACATACTTACAGCAAGTACAGGGAAATACTCTAGCGAAGGTATACATGGTAATAAAGATAATAAAGTAATAGAAGATTCTAGAGGTAATATAGGTAATAAAGATGATGAAGGTAAAGGCGGTGAAGACATAGATCAGTAGTACAAAGATTATTCTAGAAGAAATAATATTACAAGGATAAATGCTAACAAAAAGTAATACAAGGGGCAATGTAAATCTTGAGCGAAAATCACATGTAACAATTCTTTCCCACTAATCTACGAGTTCTATGGGCAAATTGTTAAATTAGGAAAGATAAATTCATGTAAATAAGTTTTCTATACTATTCTTAAATTGGAAATTTCATTGATATGTTGTCCTGATAATCAATTCCTATATTTGTATAACTGATACTCAAATATTAACAATGCTTAGCAAGATTTACTGCGCTTGCCACATGATTCAAGACTTATATGTTCAATATTACTTTTGTATCCACTACTGATATTCTCTTTGTTAGATTTTGGATTTACGAATTACAGACTGTTCGTCGCTGTAAATACTTTCAATACTGAACAAAGTTTTTCCTACAGTTTTTCCTACAGTTTTTCCATATGATTTTTTCTTTATCAGGTGTTAATCAAGTTTTTCTTGTGTCGTTTATCCAGATTTCACATGTTAAATAATTATCTCTTCTAGTTATATTAGGTCAATTCATTCAAGTTTGCTCATATGCTTGTTTTCCTTAAATGGTATACAATGGTGAGGTGAATTTCAAGTTGCAGATTTATAGCAGCCAAAAGATCTTTTTGTTTCCATCAGTTTCTTAAATAATTTAATATTTAAGAATTGATTTTTGTTCAGAGATTGCCAAACTTTCTGACTGCAAGTTCAATCATTATTTTCAAAGATTTTTGCATATTACTTTTCCAAGGTATCCAATTTTTTTGAATTATCACCTCTTCATCAGACGAATTTATCCTTTTTATTTTCAAAATTATTGGATATATGCCTATGTATTTTCTATAAACTTGTTCTCTCTGTATAGCATTGACAGGTTATAGCCTAGTAGATTCCTAGGTTATTCCGCTTTGGAGATAATTCATATATCCAAGGATATTCGTCATTTTTGTTTCTTTTAAACTTTCCTCTTGGTTTTAATATTGGATACTGATTTTTCTTTCCTTTTTCCTCACTTTAGCTTTTTTAGATTATGTTTACCAACAATACTTCTCGTCGTGCTGGTCGTCGTGGTGGTCGGGTCAACTGTCGTAGTGGTCGTGTCTTCCTTTCTTCTTCCCATACAAGTTTTATGGCTACCATTCGTCATCCCTTTCATATACCTCAAGTGGCTTCTTCTGTTGTTTCTTCAACTTCTGCTCCTATTCCTGATCCTATTGAAAGTTCTGCTCCTGCTCCTGTTGAATTCCATGCTCCCTCTTCCTGTAACCGGTGTGTCACTTTAGAACAAGAGTTAAATACTTAGCAAAGAACTTTGGATAATTTGAATGAAACTAATAGAAATATTAGGCGTCAATTGGCTGGGTTAAGTTTTTATAGAAGAAATAAACCTCTGGGAAGAAATATTCATTGGTTGATTCAGGAGTATAGATATTTGGCAAGGTTAACACAAGGATATAGGATAGTGTTAAAAAATGAGCATTATACCAATAGACGTCATAAAAGTATATAGATTTTAAATGTTTTTGATAAGTTGTAAAAGATATAAAAATTATAAAATTATAAAAATAAATAAAAAAAAATGTCTAAATATAAAATAAGTTGAAAGAATAATATTAATCACTTTGATAATTTCATAAAATGCTATAGCCTCAAACATCATCCTGCTACAGTTTTGCGCTTCATGACTGACCAGCCTTTAACCAGCATATGCTATGGATTCCTAAGAATCAAGGTTGTTTACAGCTATGTAATGGCTTTATGAAATTACCCAAGCAAATAATAATATTTTCTCAAGTCAAAAATAAAGAAGTAAAATGATATATGTGTCACTAAATGCTAATAGAATATGGGGATAATTAAAGGAATAATGAAGGAATTATAAAGGGATTATAAAAAAAGTAAGAGTAATTAAAAAGGTGTAAAGATAATTATTAACTTTGCTTTTGTCTTTCATTTGTTTTTTTTTGTAGAGTCTTGATGGTGCGGCGTGGTTCAGCATTGTTGAAGTCTTCATTGTTGGCCTCTAAGTAGTTTTTCAAATTCACGTGGAGTAAAATTGCATTATTGTCATAGTCGTAATCATTATCTTTATGATGATGGTGACCATATTTTCCATCTTAATTGTCATTTCTTCAGCTTCACGCTCTAAGTCACGTGACTTACGGAATCCCGGTGGTGATCACGGTGATATACTGTCTGAAATTTATTGATTCGCATGAAAATTATAGAGGGAGCCGGTGTATTGTGATTGAATCTGGTAAGTAGCATGGAAAGTGATTCGCATTGTGATATTTGTGTTCTATTGGAATTGTCATCATGAATGGGTCACCATAATATTGATTCTGATGTTCATTGAAATTTATGGTGCGGCTACGAGCACGTGGTGCTAGTAATGGTTTGATGGTGTCCTCTTGCTTTCCGATGTTGGCCATCGTCTGAAGGATTGGATCTTTAAGCAAACGTTCAACAAAGTATTCCGACGACGACGTTTTGAGGCTTGTTGTTGTTGAGACAACATGTTGGAGCTCAGGGTGTTGGTTGACGACGAGATGGTGTTGGGTAGCGAAGATGAGAGCGGATAGGTGTGAATGTAAGAAATGTCGGGTCTTAGTTGTGGTATTACAAATGCAAACATCTTCTTTTGTATTGGTGGTGGCGTTCACGATTTCTCGGGGAAAACTCGCAATCATAATCATGACTGTGATCACGATTATGACAGCAGATCTTCGGGGCTGTATATCTTCTTAAGGTAAGCATTCCGTTTGTTATAATTGTTCCGTTTTGGGTGGTTAGTTTTTTCTCTAACCATTCTTGTCTTTTTTTTTTTGTGTCAGTGCCTTCTTCGTGGTCTTGTCCCGGTATTTTTAATCATCAGGATGGTATTTTTAATCATCAGGATGGTATATCTCTCATCGGTCGTTTATTACAGTGGGGGCTTGTCGGAGCATTAGACTTTTCTTGCTGCTCTGACATCTTTGAGAATATATATGCATATATATTCTAGACATGCATTATCCGACTCGTAAGATAATTAAACTTTTTCAATCGTGATTGTGATCATGATCATAATGGTATTTCGGTGTTTCTAGTCATCGGTCTTGGTCGTATTCTCTTGTCTTGGTGTAATTCTGGTAAGTTGTGGCATTTTCTTTCTTTTGCGGCGTTCTACCATTGGCTTCTAACTTTTTCTTACCAGTCTTTCCCTAGCCTCATGCTTTACGTTCGATTCATCATCTGCGAGTTCTTCTTGACCCTCGGCGATATCCATCGTCCCTCGCATATGCTACCGGAGTCTTGTCGGTAAGTTTTGGTTCTTTGCCTTCTGGTTTCTTCGCCATTCTTCTCTTTACAGACAATCCTCCTTTCTTTAGGCACTCATCTGTAGCTTCTTTCAGTGTCGTGACTTCTTCTTCTTGGAACCGGAGTTATGTGAAAACGCGCAATCATGATCACAATTATGATCATGATTGTGTTCGTTGTTACTCTTCGGGATGTCGATTTGAGATTCCACTATCAATATCTGACAGATATAGTTGTTTAACATTAAAAGTCTTTTGAGCTTCAATAATGAGGTTAGATTCACTAATTGCGTACTGTACTTTTGATCTTTAAACGTAAATATTGCTCAACGAGAGTCAATCGTAACATCGTCGGATATCATTTCCTGACTTCTCCAAATTTTTGTTTTGCATCCTTCAATATCATCAATTTCAAAAATAAACTGTTCTTTAATCAGAATTTCTGGTTCCTCGTCATCAGTAAATTTATTCAAAACTGATGACTTTTTTTTTTTTTTGTGATCGTTGGCACAACTTCGTACCATAAATTTTTGGTTCTGTCTAAAAAACTACTAACCACTGTAGAAACTGTATTCCCTTCTCCACCAGCTGAATTCGATTCATTGGACAATAAGGTCTGTTGAAAAGTTTATTATTATTATTATTATTTTCTAAAACGGCAAATGTTAATTCGCCGTTTCTTCTTCTTTGGGGCGTCATTCATGCATTCATTAATTTAAAATTTTTTTTTTTTTTAGGGAGGTGCATATACTGCCGATCCCGTGATTGTCGTTCTTCAGGCTTCGCTTTTCTTCTGAGCAAGCCATTCCGGAGCTTTTATCGTTGGATTTGGACTTCTTTTAGGTCGGGACGATACTTCTTCCTCTATTCAGCACATACCATCAGCCGAATTCTTCTTGGGCATCGTCGTTGGAGCAGAATTAGTCGTTGTTTCTTGGATCGTCACAGACACAATGTCGTTTCCATCGCTCCTTTGAAGATCGAACTTCTTCGGGGGCAATTTCTCAGGGGTGGCAATCAAAGAATCTTCCATTTTTGGATCCTGATTTTCGAATTGTGTCTAACAGATGAGGCGCATCTCACAGTCACCACTAATTTGTCATATATCTTCCTACCTCAGGAGAAAGATATGAATGGAGAACTAATAGCAGGGAGACACTTTGTATGGATGGACCAATGTGGTATGCTAAAGTTCATAAG